CATCATTCCCTGCGCCCTACATATCCATTCACATATTAGAACTCTAGAAGCCTCAGTCGCACTTTATATTTATTACCGGCATTTTTCACCGGATTGGCCGAGTGCAATCCATATTAGCCACATATATTGTCTCCAAGCTCAGTTCTTCCCAGGCACATATTCATATTTTTGAGAGACAATGCACATATAAATTAAAATAATAAAACAAAACGAGAAGGGACGTGTGAGATGTGTGACACCGGTACCTTAGCTGTTTTTTTTTTTTCAAATTTCACAGTTTTTCTTCATCTGTTATCTCCATCTACAACACTTCTCACCCCAACACGCTCCTTTAGCTCTCCCCCTCCCCTAGAGCTTCACACTACACGAATCAGAGTGTAAATGAGAGAATATGCAAAAAATAAGAAAAGCTGCGGAACGGAACGGGGGGGTTTAGCCTGAGATCCAGGCGCTCAACAAGACGGACGGACGGACAGACAGACATGGCTCGGCTATTGATGATGATCAAGAATATATGTATATACTTTATGGGGTGGGAAACGTTTACTTCTGTGCATTACATACATCCACTATGTGAACAAATACAATATACCCTGTTTACTCTTCGAGTACCGGGTATAAAAAGTCAGGTTGGTCCTTGGGGAGTTCGATTTTGTCAAAAATTGTCTTGACCAAAAGTTTAATTGGAACCTGAATACTAAAGGAAGGGTGAAGAAGGCCACAATAGCCTTTTACACTTGCAGAAAGGCTATCGGTCTAAATTATGCCATGAGGCCAAGCATAGTCCAATGGATCCATCTTTCAATAGTTATGACCATCACAAATCAACTGGGGCTCTCCTCACGACACCAAATGAGGCATTACACTCCATTCTATAACTCCAGAGCCTTGACCTTGCCGGAAAAAAGCAGGGCGAAATGGCAGCAATCGGTATAAGAGATTCAGACCATAACAAAAACGGACTACTGCTTTCCAAGGGAGTACTTAGATTTTCAATTTGAAAGAATTATTCCTCATAGGGACAACTGACTCGAGGGACCACCTGGTCCTCAAAGAGCCATACAAATCTTCACAGACGGTTCTAAGCTGCTCAATAAAGTCGGAGGATCGATCAACTCCGAACGACTTAATATAAGACACTCCTTGAGGCTTCCAGACCACTGCAGTGTTTTCCAATCAGAAGTAACAGCAATCATAGAAGCTCTGAACTACATTCAAACAGTTTACATCACGTCAACTCACAGCCAAGCTGTGCTTAAATCAATAAGTTCGATTTCATTAAACTCGGCTACTGTATCTCTACATGAGATGGCCCAGCAAGTTGTTATTAGCCTAATATGGGTCCCGGGTTACCAGGACATCAAGGGCAACTTCGTATCAGATGATACAGTTCCTTCTAATCTTATATATTAGTGACATTTTTATTAGTAGCTCAAATTGCTTTTTTAGTTCTTGAACCCTGCTACGTTCCATAGGAGGGGGAGAGGACACCGCCCCGCGGCGTGCCTCTGCTGACAAACCTGGTTAATGTTGACTGCCCCAGTGAGACCGTCCTGCATTGAAGCATCTGATCGATAAGGCTCAGCGTCCGGGAGTCAATCCCCCGGTCCGTCAGTGCTTCCGTGCTAGGGGCCGGGAGGATGTTGTTGAAAGCGCTCTCTATGTCTAGGAAAGCAGCCAGGGTGAATTCCTTGTGCTGTAGGGACGATTCTCTGATCGATGTGATCGTGAGTACGGCCGTTTCGGTGGATCTGTCCTTCCGAAAGGCATGCTTAGAATAAGATTTTCGATTTGGCTGGATTTTCGACGTGAGGTGCAGGCCCAAGAATCGCTCCATCGTCTTCAGAAGAAAGGATGAGAGATTTATAGGCCTTAAATCTTTGGGGGTAATCTTTTCCTTGGGTATAAAAATGACTTTTGTCTGAAGCCATGTGTCAGGGATGTGTCCTTGGGAGGAAATACCCTCGAAAATCCGCTTGAGTCAGTTTATGGCTCATACCCTAGCGTGGATTAACTGTCCTGGAATAATGCCATCTGGTCCCGGGGACTTGTAAGGCTTGAAGCTTTCAATTGCCCAGGATATTTTCTCGGGGTTTAAAAGGTTTAGAATAGATCCTGAGCAACTATAGGGAGGGGCACTGTAGCTTGTCTTGCTTTCAGTGCAGCCTGGGAAATGTGTGCTGAAGAGAAGATTTAGCGATTCGTCGCTGGACGTTGTCCATGACATATCAGCGTTCTTCAGATAGCCCAAAGATGGGGTTGTCTTAGAGAGTACTTTTCGCAAGCGGTAAGCCTCTGAGTTACTTTCGATTTCGCTGCAGAACTTACGCCATAAGGTGCGTTTGGCTTTCCTAAGTTCTTTGCTATAAGTTGAGAGGCTGATCTTGTAATCTGGCCAGTTCTGCTCAGCGTTTAGAGTCTTGGCTCTGTTGAAGAGTCTTCGTGAGGTTTTTCGAAGCTCTCCACGAATTGGGGTCCACTACTCACAACTCATTCACCACGCTTCTTCCGACCTCTGGCTCTACCAGGGGGGCATGACTTATCAAGCGCGGCACTGCACGCGTTGGTAAAGGTTTTGACCAGGTTGATCGTGGCTGTCCTTGAGATATCCCCCTCTGGAGGAACTCAGGGAGCAGACGGCCCAGCTGCTCTGCGTATCGACTACAGTTGGTCCGTCTAAGAAAAAAGTTTCCCCGTACCTGTGGTCAATGCTCTTCAAGGCCCCTCCAGGATACTATGTTATCCTGTATACCATGGGAGGCAAGTCTGAGTCCTAAGACCTCCGTCCCGTTCTTGATGAGAAACGTGGACTCGTTTCCCCGGTTTAAGATGACCATCCTGATGGTCACTAGATAGCTGAATAGGTACTCACCCCGTTTAATTGTGTCGGAGCTCCCCCACTGGCAGTGGTGCGCGTTGGCATCGCATCGGGACGTCTTCCCATCGCACGGCCTCCAGCTTGGCCCCTGGGTAGACCTCGTTCAGCAATGCCACACCTTCATGTAGAGGACCGCCGAGCGGTCATCCTGGCAGGCGATGGCTTTCACCGTGGTTTGGCGGCACCAGACGTCCGTACATTTTTGTGGCGGTCCGTCGTTTTCCTCGAGCTCCAGCAGGAATCTATCCTGGAGCTCTTCGGCAACAAGGTGCCATTTGTTCCGAGGGACAATGCCATCCTTGGCGCCCCTGTACAGGACGCCAATGAGGGGTTTGCCTCACATTTTCCTCATTTTCCCCTAGGTTTCTGGGTCTGGCAGGGTTTGGCGACAGGGTCCTCTGCGCAACACTGCCGCTTGCTTGGGGCCTTGGCTGCGCACTTCCCAGCTTTGGCTGGCTGGAAATCTGGGAGAATTTGTCTAGCCCATCGCCTCTGCTCCGCTCCCTTTCCCGACGACTTTTTATACCCGGTTCTCGAAGAGTAAATGGGTTTATTGCATTTGTGCACAAAGTGAGAGCCACCAAATTTTGCATCCAGACTTCTGTATGCTCACACTGTTTAAATAGTCTTGCAAATTCAAATTATGAGGAAGTGAACTAGTCATCCAGGCCTGCAACATAGTTTTTGTCTTTTGCAAAGTTAACTCAAAATATTAAATTTTTTTCGCATATTTTTATTAAGAAAATAGATATTTTGCACTCATGGATAATAATTGTGTTCGAGTTTTACTATTTATCGCTTATCAAAATTTATTTTTTTTAAATATTATGAAATAACAGTATCCGTTCTGGAATGAATAATAAATAGTTATAATTAATGAAATAAATATTTAAATTGGACTTTTGTTTTACTTTCAGCTTCTATGATTTTCTTACTGCTTTTAATGAATGGCAAATGAATGGCTTAACCCATGGCATCTTTGACGCAGAGCTTTTCCATTTGATCGGAATAGAAGCCGTTAAAGTTGATTCGATGCACTAGATTCATAAAGCGATCGGCGGTGTTCTTCTTAGCCATATTGTTAATTTGCTTGAGAAAATTTATCAGCAGTCCAGTAAATTCCAGATCGAAGAGTTTGACGACCTCTGAAAACTTATCTGTCGGATCCAAAGATGTCTCCAACTGGCAGAAGGAATATAAATTAAGTAAGTATTATATTTTCATGAGCGGTGCAGAGCTAGAAGCGGCTGGGTTTTCCACTGAAAATTCAAAATTCGACAACTTGGTAGATATGATCATTCTCTACGATACTGCATTTTTGTAGCTTTAAAACGGGAAATAAACATTGTGGAATTCGCCTAACGACGAACGGAGCCCTCTGGCGGCACTAGACATGGTGTGCAGTGATTGGCTACATTCTGGCTACAATATGTTCCTGATAGATATATATGGCCATTTTCTACGGAACTGAGTTTTTATACCCGGTACTCAAAGAGTAAATAAGGTGTATTGTTTTTCTGAGAACAAGTAGATGTATGTAACGCAGAGAAGTCTAATCAACCAATAATAACCAATCAATCAAGCAGTCAAATATATTTTTTGTAAATTACAAAAGATTATTACAAAATTAAAAAATCTTTAATTACTCTTAATCTTTTAAATACATTTTTATAGCCGATACTCGAAAAGTAGATAGTCTATATTATATTTGTTTGTATAAGTAGACGTATGTAACGCAGAGAAGGAAACGTTGCCGACCCCATTGAGGATATATATTCTTGATCAACATCAATAGCCGAGTCGATATAGCCATGTCTGTCCGTCCGCAGAAAACGCCATCTTTGTATCTTTAGTCTTGCAAATTCAAATTCTGAAGAAGTGAACTAGTGATCCAGGCCTACAACTTGGTTTTGTCTTTTGCAAAGTTAACTCAAAATATTAAATTTTTTTCGCATATTTTTATTAAGAAAATAGATATTTTGTACTCATGGATAATAATTGTGTTCGAGTTTTACTATTTATCGCTTATCAAAATTTATTTTTTTTAAATATTATGAAATAACAGTAGCCGTTCTGGAATGAATAATAAATAGTTATAATTAATGAAATAAATATTTCAATTGGACTTTTGTTTTACTTTCAGCTTCTATGATTTTCTTACTGCTTTTAATGAATGGCAAATGAATGGCTTAACCCATGGCATCTTTGACGCAGAGCTTTTCCATTTGATCGGAATAGAAGCCGTTAAAGTTGATTCGATGCACTAGATTCATAAAGCGATCGGAGGTGTTCTTCTTAGCCATATTGTTAATTTGCTTAAGGAAAGATATCAGCAGTCCGGTGAATTCCAGATCGAAGAGTTTGATGCGCTCCGAAAACGTATCTGTCGGATCCAACGATGTCTCCAACTGGCAGAAGGAATATAAATTGAGTAAGTATTATATTTTAATGAGCGGTGCTGAGCTGGAAGCGGCTGGGTTTTCCACTGAAAATTCAAAATTCGACGACTTGATAGAAAAGGTCATTCTGCTGTATCCACAATTTTAAAGATAAAACAAAAACAAAAAAAAGAAGGGACGTGTGAGACGCTTCTTACGCGTCACTACTTTTATATCCTGCACTCAGTTTTACATCTGCACGTTAGCGCTGATTTGTCAAATGTAACATATTTTCTTCATCTGTCATCTACATCTACAACACTTCTCACACCAACACGCTCCTTTAGCTCGCGGCCTTCCGCGAAGTAATGTAATCAGTATAAAGAGCGTGTAGTTCTCAGAGCTTAAACACACACAGTTTTTCATGCAAACTTCTGTAATATTACACTGTTGCTAGTGTAATATCAATATTTCGCACCTACCTACCGCCCTACAATGGGCAAAATTCTGTGGCATCCACAATTTTGAAGATATAAGAAAACCAACGAGTAAGAACGTTTGTGAGACGCTTCTTACGCGTCACAACTTTAATACCCGGCACTCAGTACTACTTCTGCACCTTAGAGGTGTTTTGTCATATTTAACATTTTTTCTTCATCTGTCATATACACCTACAACGCGACTCACACCAAAACACGCTCCTTTAGCTCGCCCCCCTTCCCTAGACCCACACACTGCCGACTCGCAGCAGAGGCAGCGCCCGCACACAAAAAAAAAAACATATGTAAGCTGCGGGACGGGGTGGGTTAAAAGTCGGCAGATGCAGTGGCAGAGGGACGGCAGAGGCCGAGTGAAGCTGTAGCAGAACTTGAATGAGATTATGTGAAAAGAACAATAAAAGCTGCGGGACAGGGTGGGTTTAGATACTGGAAATTAATTTCTTCATTGTGGCTATAATAATGATCCAATCGGATCCCAATTTGGTGATCTGATATATATGGCCATTCCCTACGGAATGGAGTTCCGGGTATAAAAAAACAAAAGCTGCTGGACAGGGTGGGTTTAGCCACTAAAAATTAGTTTCTTCATTGTGGCTATAATAATGATGGTGTTTTTAGTTTTCTCTTATCTTCAAAATTGAAGGTTTGGGAGGTTTCCGCCCGTTTGGGTATAAAAACGTACCCGTATTCGAAAATTGTATTGCATTTTTTACCCGGTACTCGAAGAGTAAATAGGGTATATTGTATTTGTGCGAATAACGGTTGTTGTAACACACAGAAGGAAACGTCTCCGACCCCATAAAATATATATATTCTTGATCAGCATCCATAGCCGAGACGATTGAGCCATGTCTGTCTCAGTCTCAGAGATAAAAGAAAACTAAAAACAACATCATTATTATAGCCACAATGAAGAAACTAATTTTTAGTGGCTAAACCCACCCTGTCCAGCAGCTTTTGTTTTTTTATACCCGGAACTCGAAAAGTAAATAGAATATATTGTATTTGTGCACAAAGTGAATGTATGTAACACACAGAAGGAAACGTTTCCGACCCCATAAAGTATATATATTCTTGATCAGCATCAATAGCCGAGTCGATTGAGCCATGTCTGTCTGTCCGTCCGTCATGTTGAGCGCCTGGATCTCAGAGACTATAAAAGCTAGAGCCACCAAATTTTGCATCTAGACTTCTGTATGCTCACACTGTTACAAGTGTATTTAAAAAATGAGCCCCGCCCCCTTCCTCTCCCGCAAATCGCGAAAAATTTGCGGTATTCACAATTTGTAAGATACGAGAAAACTAAAAACGCAATTCTGTAGGGAAGAATCAAATCTATCAGATCCCCGATAGGTTCGGTTTGATCCGGTTGGATCATTATTATAGCCAGAATGAAGAACTTTATTTGCAGTGGCTGAACCCACCCCATTCCGCGACTTTTTTTTGGTTTTTTGCACATTTTCTTATTCACACTCTGCTTCTGCAGTGTGCGGCCTCTGCCTCTTCCGTGCCTCTGCCGAGCCTTTGCAGTGTGTTGCTCTAGGGCAGGGGGGCGAGCTAAAGGAGCGTTGTTCGGAGCAGCAGCAAATATATAATTATTAAGATCAACTCGCCGTTTTTACATTTATACTCTCTTATATTAATATGCTATTGTCGCGCTCATTGCTCCCTCTCACAGTGAATAGAAGCGCACGCATATTTATGCACCCTTCGTACTGCTTACATATATTGCAGATCTATGCCGTTTTCTTTGCACCAGTCTAAAATATTGTCCTTCGCCACGCTTCTCCGAGCAGTCCAATTACTTTCTATGTCCACCGCGAATCCGTTACTTAATCGAGCTCTCAACTATTATAAAGTTCAACACACCGAATCGTAGTTCACGTCCAAGGCTATACATTGTATAAATTCGTAAAATAATAAACAAATATATCAAAACTAAATACGGATAATAATTGTCGTAAATGTGGAGTCAGAGTTGTCAAAAAAGCTCGGCCGCTTCCAACATTTTGGTTACCCCGACGTGATTTCCGTGAGCTTATAGTGCGTTAAAGTGTTTAAACATTTAATTTTTCGAATTTTAAACATATAACTCAACATTTGCTCAACAGTAGCGAACCAAAAGTCGTTGTGGCCGATCGTGGCAGTGCTAGCGGCCCGCTATTCGTTTTCTCTTTCACCGTCTGCTTCAGCCAGCGCAACGCACTATCGAGACCGGCTGCAGGGAGTTCTGAGCGAGGTCAGTTAGCTTTTTTTTCCTACTGTTTCGTCGCTTGCTTCAGCCATCTCTCGTGCATAAAGCAACTATATAAGGAGTGCGAGTGAAAGGGCTCTCGTTGGAAGTGTGAGGGCAACGACAATGGAGTGTGCTTATTAATCATTTAAAGGCAATGTGAAAAAACATAATAATTGTCTCAAAATTTAATTATTAATAGTTTGTTACATGATAGTAGTCTTTGTTTTGAAAAAAACAAACATTTTGAAAAGGTTTGAAAAAAATGTTGTCCACAACCGACCTTCCGCGTCGACAAGCAAACGAGCACTGAGAATTGGGAAAAGCAGCGAGTAACTCTGCCACCGACGAGGCCTCCTTATATAGTTGCTTTATGCTCTCGTGACCGTCTGCAAGAACTCACTCTCGAATTCGAACTCGAAATCAGTGCACTCTCTCGATCGCTTTACCGGTGCATAAGCTTCGCAAATAACAAGTGCCGAAAAGTGAACACACAAACGTTTGAACTTGTATCGCTTGTTGAAAAATCGTATTTAACTGTGACCAATACACTCCGCGTCAACAGACTAGAACCGAAAAATAGGAAAAATATGTCGAACGTGTGAAAGTGCGGATCAATCGACGCAAGGGCAAGATCAGTTTGGCAAGTCCGGAAAAACCGTGAGTACGCATCAAAGAAAATCTTTCGTAGCATCGAGCGCCCCCATTTCTTGTGTGTTATGCGAGGGCACTAACACGGTTTACACCTCTGTCGCCAAATGATCGCCATGTGAAGGCAAAGCGGCTCTTATTATGCCTCAATTGCCTACGAGAGGACAATCATGTGAAGGATTGTAAATCCGCTTACAACAGCCCAATCTTCGGATTGCGTGCACTCTGTGGGCAATCGTCCCCTATCGTCGTTTATCGCCACACATTCTTTGGCTGTCTTCTTCTTTTAGTACAACCCAATCTTCGGATGATCACAGCACTCGGCTCGATGAGTTGATTCATCAATTTTGGAAAGTAGAGCCTTTGGGCCGATCGCTAGGGCTGCAAAGTGTGAAGGTTTGGCAGATCAAAAATAAAATTTAAAATGCCTGTACTAAAATTGTATTAAGACAAATTTTTTTTTGGGAACAGTCTTTCTTATTTTATCGCAAAAATATTGAACCTTCCCCACTGTACATACATTCCAGAGAGAGCCCGCATGCAAGATCAGAAGCTTGTATCTCGAAAAGCTCTCTCTTTCGAAAATTGCAAGTGCGAGCGCCGCTAACATGCAAGCTTTTCTCTCCGCAAGCATAGCTTACGGCTAGCCCATGAACATAAAGCAACTATATAAGGAGGCCTCGTCGGTGGCAGAGTTACTCGCTGCTTTTCACAATTCTCAGTGCTCGTTTGCTTGTCGACGCGGAAGGTTGGTTGCGGAATATTTTTTTTTCAAATTTTTTCAAAATTTTTATATTTTCAAAACACACACTACTATTATTTAACAAACTATTAAAAATTAAATTATAAAACAATTATTATGTTTTTTTCACATTGCCTAGAAATGATTAATCAGCACACTCCATTGTCGTTGCCCTCACACTTACAGCGAGAGCCCTTTCACTCGCACCTTTCCATAATTTTTTCCGACGAGACCTCCTTATATAGTTGCTTTATGCCCATGAAGAAACTATAAGGAGGCCTTGTCGGTGGCATGTTCTCGCTGGTTCTACCTAGGTTAAGTGCTCGTTTGCTTGTCGACGCGGAAGGTTGGTTGCGGACGAATGTTTTCTTCATGATCAGCATACTCCATTGTCGTTGCCCTCGCACTTGCAGCGAGAGCCCTCTCACTCGTACTTTTCACTCGCCCCTTCTGCTTAGTGTTGTCGACGAGGCCTCCTTATAGTTTCTTCATGGGCTAGCCCTTCTAGAATCTTCTTCGTTCTCATCTGGCGACACAGCTTTTGAAGGGGGTAAAATAATTAGGCTAAGTGCATGCTGCACAGAGAAAAAATTTAATTCAAAGGTGGAAGACAAATAATGTGCATGTAGAAAATATTGAAGAAAAAAACAACGTGGTGAAATTTCAGCAAACCATAAACGGGAATATAAACCCGATAAAAAAACAATTTGAAAAGTGTTGTGGCCACAGAAAAACAAAACAACCAAAAGCAAAACCTGGATAAGGTTATGACCCACATGTGGCCGAAAATTGCTGATCTGGCTTGACTTTCGGTCTCGCAGGGTGGTGCGCTCCATTACCACGAGCATCAGTCCCACTTGTTGATGCCACTGGACCTTGCCTGCCGGCAAAGATCATGGATGGACTTGGTTAGCGGGACGGAGGCATACATACACTGACATACCTACGCACAATTGAGCACTTCAACAACAACAATATAAAACAATATAAAATTTAGTGCCTGTTTCAAAAACATTGTTGATGCTTGCATAAATTGTATAAGAAAAAATTCGTTCCGCGGTCATTGCCCTTTCGGGTCACCATACACTTATGCGCACATAAATAGACCCACCTGAACGTATGTCACCCATTCTCTCCTACTTTCAGTTTATTAAAAAAATTTGATGCCCGATTAAATATGTACAATCTGAAGTCCACTTTAAGGAAAGGGACAAATAACAAAAATTTAGAAAGGAAAATTTAATGAAAAATTATGACTAGAAAAAAAAATATAAAAGAAATTTTTTAATAATATTAAATATACCTAGACATTAAACAAAGAAAAAAAATTTGAGATTCATGCATAATTAATAATATATTCTAAAAGGTGTATCATCGGTCTCATTGTGTCAATGGAAGGGTATTAGTAAAATACCGTTTCATAACGCTTCTTGTTTTATTTTGCATATTTCTCCATTTCTTTTACAGTTTTTATGACAGCGTGAAATTGGGCCCAACGACACCTGCAGCTGTTTAAAAGTTTGTAAGTAGACACATATATACACATACACTCCGGTTCAGGAGAATAGCGTCTAACACAGTGAGACATGCATTTTTAACCATATTTAAAATGAAAAATTATTAACTACAATCGCCCCAATTATGCCATTTAATTCATTTAATTAATTCATTCTCACATAACTCTTAGTAAAACCAGTTGCTTATTATATTTCGATTATATTATTTTAATTATATTTTGACTATTATCTTGAATTCATGTGTCGTAAGTTAAAAACGAGAAGGGACGTGTGAGACGCTTCTTAAGCGTCATAACTTTTATACCCGGCACTCAGTACTACATCTGCACCTAAGCGGTGTTTTGTCAAATTTTACATCTTTTCTTCATCTGTCACCTACATCTACTATATTTCTCACACCAACACGCTCCTTTAGCTCGCCGCCAGTCCCTAGACCCACACACTGCAGACTCGCGGCAGAGGCAGAGTGGGTTAAAAGTCAGCAGAGGCAAAGGCAGAGGGGCGGCAGGGTCAGGGGCCGAGTGAAGCAGAAGCAGAGTGTGAATGAGAGAATGTGAAAAGAACAACAAAAGCTGCGGAACAGGGTGGGTTTAGCCACTGCAAATTAATTTCTTCATTCTGGCTATAATAATGATCCAATCGGATCCCAATTTGGTGATATGATAGATTTGGTCATTTCCTACAGAATGGCGTTTTTAGTTTTCTTTTATCTTCAAAATTGTAGGTTGGGAGGTTTTCGCCCTTTTGCGGGGGCGGAAAGGGGCGTGGCTCATTTTTGAAATACACTTGTAACAGTGTGAGCAATCAGAAGTCTGGAAGCAAAATTTGGTGGCTCTAGCTTTTATGGTCTCTGAGATCCAGGCGCTCAACAAGACGGGCGGGACAGACGGATGAACAGACAGACATGGCTCAATCGAGTCGGCTATTGATTCTGATCAAGAATATATATAATTTATGTGGTCGAAAACGTTTCCTACTGTGTGTTACATACATTCACTTTGTGCAAAAATACAATATACCCTATTTACTCTTCGAGTACCGGGTATAATAAGTTTAAGGGTTAAGGCACTAAGCAAACAACTCATAGAGACGTCAAACGGACCTAAAACTAGCTGCCTAATCAGTATAGTGGATTGGCTCCCAGTGCCTTCGGTTCTTGGTGAGAGAACCTTCGGCTGAGAGAGTTTGGCGTTGGCTCTCTTGAGCATTGAACGTCGCAAAAACAAAGTTTTGTTTTTCCTTTTCAAGTCTGCTTCGTAATTGCTAGTGTGCGGTGACACATATGTACATACATAAATGATGGCAATGCGAGTATCTATTCTCGACTTCATGTGCGTTTTCATTTTTAGCGCTTGAGACGTTTGTTACTTTTGTGTTGCTGCTGAGCTCACATACCCTTGCTTCAAACTTGTGACTTTATGAAGAAGCTTGCCCCAATAAAAATAGATTGATCTTGCGTATCCTCTCTATGCTAATATATTTCTTAAATACAGTTAGGACGAATGGGATAAACAGTTATAAACATCTAAATATGTACATATACAAATAATGAATAACGGCAATTGACTTGGCGTTGCAGATATTTTCCATTAGAGTATTCATCATACACAGTGTGAATAAACATAGAGTTATAAGTGGAGTCATGGCAGCTGTGCCGAAAAAGAATTTATTTGTTTTTTCTTTTCAAGTCGCTTTCGTAGTCCCTTGTGTGCGGTTACACATGCATACATTTTTAAATACATACTTGTGATTTTAAGAGTTTAATATTTTAATTTTATATGAGCTCCTATTTGCCGAAGTACCTAATAATATTTCCGAAAGCCATATGGTATTCTTTCGAAGCAGAACCAGCAAAAAATAGCTTAGAATATATTTTCTATGTGCACTGCACACGTGTGTTTCCGAAAACCAATCGCCAAATCTCACAAGCTCCTAATTTCAGTTTTTTTTCCCGAAATATTTTCTTTCGAAATGTTTATGGCAAATACGACGTTAGCCGTTTACGCAGCACAACACCCACCCCATTTTCCATGAGCCTAGCCGGCCAGGAGCAGCAGCAATTACATAATTATTAAGATCAGCTCGCCTTGTTTGTATTTATACTCTCTTTATAATATCTTATACTAATATGCTATTGTCGCGCTCATCGCTCCCTATCACATTGCATAGAAGCGCACGCATATGTATATACCCTTCGTACTGCTTATATTGCAGTGCTTTGCCCTTTTCTGGTGCAAGTCAAAAATATTGTCAATCGCCGCGCATCGTTCCGAGCAGTCCAATTATTTATACATATGTCCAACGCGAACCCATTACTTTAATCGAGCTTCAAGCCATTGTACATTTTAACAAATCGAATCGTAGGCCACGGCCACGCCCCTTCAAATTGTATAAAATCGTCGAATAATAAACAAAAATATTAAAACCTAAATACGGAGAATAATTGTCGTAAATTTGGAGTAAGAGTTGCCGAAAAAGCTCGGCAGCTTCCAACAAGCGTGTTGGCGTGAGAAGTGTTGTAGATGTAAATGACAGATGAAGAAAAAATGTAAGATTTGATAAAAACCGTTAAGGTACAGATGTACTGAGTACCGGGTATAAAAGTTGTGACGCGCAAGAAGCGTCTCACACGCCCCTTCTCGTTATAATTTGATGAAAAATTCATATTATTTTTCATTTACCGTTGAACGGTACAAAACGCGCTAGAACAAGAACAATTTGACCTGGGAGTTCTTAAAATAAGCAGGCTAAGATTATAAAAAGCAGTTATCGTTATCCGATCGAGGCGGTGTCAACGTTTACACTGTCTTTAGCACGAAAAGTGTCTGTAAAATATCAATTCTTTAAAACCTGATCCATTAATTTTTTTTAAAGCAGACGAGTTTTGCGGCTTTTTTATAAATTTAAAAAACCATGGTCCATGTTTTCTGATGACTTGGAGCTCAAAAAGTGTATGTATTGGTCAAAGAGCTGCAGCTTGGCCGTTTGTGGACGACGGATGTTGTGAAAAGCAGATAAAACTTCTTCCGATTCGTCAGAAATCATAAACCCACATACATACATCCACACATTTGTATGTGCAGACTGTGTACGGTTCAAAAATAGTGACGCCGCTTTAGTTCCTCATTGTTTTTTTTAAGTCAATGTATCCACCCTTACACTATTGCAACTTTATATACCCGATACTCGAAGAGTAAATGGGGTATATTGTATTTATGGGGAATAACGGTTGTATATAACGCACAGAAGGAAACGTTTTTGGACCCCATAAAGTATATATATCCTTGATCAGCCTCAATAGCCGAGTCTATTGAGCCATTTCTGTCTGTCTGTCCGTCCGTCTGTCCGTCTTGTTTGTCGGCTAGTTCTCAGGGACTATAAGAGCTAAAGCCACCAAATTTTTGGCTCCAGACTGCTGTATGCTCATACTAAAACCAGTGTATTTCAAAAATGAGCCACGCCCCCTTCAGCCTCCGCAAAAGGACGAAAACCTCCCAAACCTACAATTTTGAAGATAAAAGAAAACTAAAAACGCCATTCCGTAGGCGGAATATCTATCAGATCACCATTGGATCCGATTTGATCATTATTATGGCTACAATATAGAAATTAATTTGCAGTGGCTAAACCCACCACGTCCCGCAGCTAATATTTGTTTTTTGCACATTCTCTCATTCACACTCTGCTTTGCGCAGTGTGCGGCCTCTGCCTAACCTCTGACACGTCTCTGCCTAACCTATAACACGTCTCTTCCTAACCTCTGACACGTCTCTGCCTTTGCCTCTGCCGCGTATCTACCCTGACTCTGCAGTGTGTGGCTCTAGGGAAGGGTGGCAAGCTAAAGGAGCGTGTTGGCGTGAGTCGTGTTGTTGATGGAGTTGACAGATGAAGGAAAAATGTAAAATTTGACAAATAACCTTCGAGTACCGGGTATAAAAATCCAAGCAGAAGTAACAGCAGCTATCAATATATAGCTATACATGCTTAATACCTGTGGCCAACTCGAGTTTCCCTGCTCAACGTCGACACTGTCGTCGCTGCTATCACAGACCATTGACTTGAGCTCAGCGTCGAGAAAGAAACGCTGAGAGTGCTATGAGGTCGAATAAAGGGTGTCTTGTTGATATTCAATTGTTGATAGGCAGGCATATCAACAAGCAAGAGAAAAAGAAAAATGAAGAGAAAGCCCAAAACCCATATTTTTATAGACAGGGCAAGACAGTTATATTAGCAGGGGAAGAACTCAAAGGTATGTAGCAACTTTTAAAATATTTTGATAACAGTCTCACCTGGATAAAGTCACAAAACTTAAGGCAGATCTTGCACAACTTAAATATGGCTCGATTTAAGTGAGAGGACTCAGTCAGCATGCAGTTCTTGAGACACGAGTCCAGGAAGTCTTGATGCAGTCCTAGTACGTTGTCCACATTCTCGACCTTCTTCATTTTCTCGATAAATATGTGCCAATTTGGTTCTATGATCTCAATCATCATATAGTACTCCAGGTTCTGAATGGCATTCATCATGCGCTGGCGCAGAGTAAATGCCGATCGATACAGCTCAGCGGCCTGTGCCGAGAACTTTTTTGCAATGGAGTTCTCTTTCCAAATCCTGCGAGAAATAACAAAGTGAATGGCTAAGAAGCGACGTAATCTGTTGTATACTCACTTGCAAAGCTGACGCTCTACGTGCTTGCAAAAGAAGAGCTGACGAAACAGCATCTGGTACTTTGAAATGGCGATATGATTGAGGACGAGCGAGACAGGCCACTTGACTTCGTAGGTAAAGGCAAAACACTCTAGACCACTAAGGTCCAGGCGATCCTGCGACTGCCAATATTCTTCCTTGTGGTTCATGATCTTTGACATCTGTGTAACCAAGTCGTAGGTGAGAAGCTCGCAGTGTAGGTCATCTTTGTAGGGATCATTGCGGGCCGAAGATAGTCTCAATGTAAGACCCAGTAGATTCTCCAGGGTCATGGGCAGCACCAAGTCTACATTCTTAGATAGCTCGTCCTCACAGGCGTCCATAAATTGCATGGTGAAGTCCCCCTGGTTCAGCAACAAATAGTTTTTTACTGACTGCAGATGCCCCATAAGGTCGTTTTCCGTGAGAAGAACGTCAAGCAGCATGCGGGCGGCAAAGTAATAGGCGTCGTTGATTACATACACGTGTCGCTCGTTGGTCGGATCGAGGTGGAGCTCCATTTTCTGAGTGGGCATTACTCGCTTTCCGCACTGTCGGATCACATTTAAATACTTGCCGGTTCGCAATATTTTGTCGGAGTACTTTTCTAGGAAGAAAGGGATCCGATCGCGACGGACTGTGTAGCGCTTTTCCCAATAATCGTCCGAATAATGTTCCGGCAGCTCGCCTTGGTGGACAACCTCGTTATCCTCCACCAGAAACTCGTGGTTGCGGTCTACAATAACTCCTTTTTGGATCCAAAGCTGCAGCATTCGCATGTACGGCTTGGCTGCCTGATGCGTGAGATTAATCATTATCTGCTGGGCTGCCCCGTCCCCTTCCAACCGCTTTATCCGCCCGTGTAAATGTGTCAGTACTGCAGCTCCCACGAACTCTTTTAGTTGCACATCCACTAAAGTCGTCCATATCTCCTTCATCACCCAGATGGTCGGCTCTAAGTAGTACAGAAGCTTATGAACCGTCAACTCTTGCTGCTGCAGCTCCTTCTCAGATTGTACAACCAGTACCTAAAGGGATAACAGATAAAATACTATTTGATATATGTAGGTGTGATATTTCTTAAAGAATACACTTACGTAGAAATCCTGGGTCAGATCTTGGAGCGCCGCATTAAGAGAGTTAATGACCTGCCCGTGACCATCAGTTGCCGCCATCATCTTTTGGATGCCCATAAAGTACGAGGCCAGGGGAAGAATATCCTGCAGCGGCTCTGTTAACGATTTATCCAGGTGCACATGGATATTGAAATTTGTTTCATACTTGGCAATTCCTGTACTGATCATATCTGGCGGCAGAGGGACAATAAAGTTTCCACGAGTGCCACACAGACAATGGAATAGCTCTTTTAGAAGGACTTGCTGCTGGCTTGCAAAAGGCAGGGCGCCAAGCTCCGGCTTTACCATTTTGTTACCTTCCACTTTGCAGTAATCCCAGAGCATGTGTGTGCGATACTCATCCGGCAAGCATGTCACTGCCATTAGAAAGGAGTTACAAGTCTTAATCCTGACGGATGACTTCGTCGATCCAACTTCTGTGCTTCCAAGACGACGGTCGCTAGTCTTCGAACTGCTGGAAACTGCCATCAGCACGCGCTCTTTGATCTGAATTTGAAATATACGGATTTGTATAAGAAAATAGAGAAATTTTAGTTATCTGGGCAGTTCGCTCTAACCACGCTCAAATCTGCGCGTTCTGGATCATTTTTCTGCTTCTGATGGTATAGTTTTAGATTCTGGTTGCGTCGTCCACATAATGCTCCAGTGTAGAGGACTGGGAAACTTTCGCTTCTACGATAATTCATCGGAGTCGATGTGGAAATACTTTGCGACATTGTATGTATTGCACTATCGTCAGAAAGACTCCTCGTCGACGCGCATTGAACCATGCTAAGCGAAGACATGGCACTGACAGGAGAGCCAGTACTGCTCTGAGTGGTTGGTGATGGCATTTCAACCTTTAAGTGGCTATCTTCGCAGCTGTATCGCTCGACGAATACAAGCAGAGCATACATAGGATCCTTCCTGGGAAGGAAAGGAATGTGAAAAACACCCAATGAACTAGATCGAAATACTGACGTCTTAAGTATATGTGTGACCTCAGTGATCACAGTTTGAAAGTTTGGACGCTTTTGGCTTATGGTTGCAAGTAAATGCAGAAGCTCGTTCGATGAGAGACGCCGTTCGTGTGTGGCACGAAAATGTCTCACAATGATGTCTGGCGTGTACGGAGCCCTATAAATACACAATTTTTGTAGTTCACACTGCACTCCGTGAAGTGCGATTTGCTTACTGCGATTCGATTATAAGATTACGTAGTACCCCACGTACTTGATCAACTTTACTCATAATGGCATGGGCGAACTGTTATAATTCATAAAGCAGCGGTAATTGCAACATTTCAATACCAGAATAGACACAAACATCTAAAATTGAATGGGCTCTCGTGATTTTCTTTGGTACATTAGAGTTGTCATCTGTTTGCAAAAACAAATCAAATGTTTACCACAATATTTATTTTGTTATATATATTATTTTAATTAATTTTAGCTCTGATAGGAGATCAGAGCGTGAATGAACAGGGTGGTTCTTTAAAATGCAATTATTAAAAATAAGGTGGGTAAACTATATATTTCGGGCCTGTGTTCTCTCAGTCCACACACGCACTTCGTATCGATATATCGATAAGAATCTGAGTATTTCGTTTATGTTGCTGGAAACTCAATAAACGACAAGGCAAACGAAAAAATTACTGAACCAGTTTTTTTATATGAAGCCTAGTACTCAGATATGATATTCGTATGGAACCAATAAGAAATGTTGTCGCGCACAAACTATTTTCTAACGGCTGTATGCCAGCACTAACGAAATAGTATTAGCTTCATAGAAGCGAAACGTCACCGCTGAATGTGCGTCTCGAAGTCCCAGGCCTCTGCCAAAAATAAAAATTGTTGGCAACATGAAACATTTCGACACGCATACGAGCACTGAATATTAGGAAAAGCCACGAGTAACTCTGCCACAGGCAGAGGCCTCCTTATAGTTACTTCATGAAGGAGGCCTCGTCGGTGGCAGAGTTACTCGCTGCTTTTCCCAATTCTCCGTGCTCGTTTGCTTGTCGAAATGTTTCATGTTGTTAAAAATGTTTATTTTATCAAAACACAGACTACTCATGTAGCAAACTATTAAATGTTAAATTATGAAACAATTATTATGTTTTTTCACATTGCCTTCAAATGATTAATTAGCACACTCCGTTGTCGTTGCCCTCACACTTACAGCGAGAGCCCTTTATAGTTTCTTCATGGTCTCCTTATAGTTTCTTCATGATATAGGTGCTTTATGTAGCTGCGTGCTCTACACGCACTAATACACATGTAGCTGGGACTTCTAGCTGCGTGTTCTACACGCACTAATGCTTGTAGCTGCAACATTGGCAGAGGCCTGGGACTTCGAGACGCACATTCAGCGGTGACGTTTCGCTTATGAGAAGCTGATAATCTACTATACTATTTGGTTAGTGGCAGAGGACTGGGACTTCGAGACGCACATTCAGCGGTGACGTTTCGCTTATGAGAAGCTGATAATCTACTATACTATTTGGTTAGTGGCTTAAATTAGCTTCATCGGTATATTTACGGTAGATTTCGAAAATGAAGGGGTATTTCTCTGTATTTTTTCAAGGGTGTAAAGGTATATTTAATCGATAGTTCTGCGGTCACACTGGTCGCAAAGCCTCTTCACGAAGTAGATGTAAAATGACAACATAAGTACAAATGCGATAACCAAATAGAGCAAACGTCATGTTTTCCTATCTGACGAGTCCGGGTCAACGTTTTAACACCCAACTGCTGCAGGAGGCTGCTTATCGTGAGCTTATACAACACCTGGACCGGATCGATGGCTCAACCGTCATCGCGCTGGACGAGGCAATGATTGGGCCGTTTACGCTAGTAACGAAACCAAAGCTTTTTGATGAAAGAGCCATTAGGATTGTGACTCTTAAGCCGGACTTGGTCTTTCCCAAGGATATCAGAAACATTGTCTACATTCTTCGACCGAGAGTCTCGCTTATGGATCAACTGGTGGGTCATGTCAAGTGTAATGGTCTGGTCAGTGGGCGCCAGTTCCATATTCTTTTTGCACCACGACGATCTTGCCTATGTATTAACCAGTTACAGAACAAAGGCGTGATAAACAGTTTCAGTCGCATTGATGAGCTCTCCTGGAGCTTTCTTCCGCTAGATGCGGATGTGGTGACAATGGAGATACCTAATGCCTATCGCGACGTAAGCATCGATGGCGACACAAGCTCTCTGTACCAGGTAGCTATTGGCCTCGTTCAGCTACAGCGCCTTTATGGACGCATTCCAAAGATCTACGGAAAGGGTGTCCAGGCACATCGCGTTTGGGATCACGCTAAAAATCTGGGAATGGAGGAAAAGGCGCTGTACAACGGCGACAGAGGGGCCATTGATCAGTTGATTCTGCTAGATAGGGGCATCGACCTGCTCAGCCCCCTGGCCACGCAGCTCACCTACGAGGGCCTCATTGACGAGTTCTACGGCATTCGGCAAAATAAGCTTTCACTCCCTGCAGAGTGGTTTCCCCCCAATAAGACAGCAGAAGGGCGTAGACCCGATGAATACTTGCCGCAAACTTCGGAAAAGAAAACTATCCTGATGCACTCTGGAGAGCAGCTATACGCGGAGCTGCGTAATAAAAACTTTAACGAAGTAACCAAACTCCTTGCCCGCAAAGCCAGGGAGATCCACACCCAGATGCACGCGACATCACAAGACAAGACCGTACAGGAAATCAAGAGTTTTGTGGAAAACAAATTACCCCAGCTGATGGCCCAGAAGAAGTCAACTTCAGAGCACACAGCTATAGCAGGCCTTATTCACGAACAGGTGAATGCCACCACCTTCGCAGACGACCTAGCTGCGGAGCAAGACTTCATGGTCTGCGCCGATATAGACAAGCCTAGTGCGTTCATCGAGGACAAAATAGCCAGAAAGTCCGATATACGCAATGTGTTGCGCCTTATTTGCTTGCAGTGTGCCGCCGCCTCCGGTCTCAAGGATAAGCTCCTCATCCACTACAAACGTGAGGTGGCCCAGGTCTACGGTATTGAAATGTTACTCACCTTCAGTAACTTAGAGATGGCCGGCCTGCTACATCCGCAGACGGATTCGCGAGCATATGCTGTGCTGAGAAAGGTGAGCACGAGCCGTCTTGATTTTCTTAATGGGTATTCTGAAGTTCATAATCGACAGTCTTTGACCTGAATTATAAAAATTATACAATGTACATATATCGGTAACATTGCCGGTTCATACCTTTCAGTTGGCATTGGCATCGCTGTTATCCAAAATATATATCCAAATATTTCATGGGACAAATCTTTCGACTTTTCCTGAATTCCAAATTTCGTAAAAAATACCGCACAAAAATCAACATTTTTTCCTTTCAAAGCATATTTTTCAAACTGTAAGACAACATAGTGTTTGGGTATAAATTATGGATGCATTCATAACCTTTATAGAATGGCTAATTTCAACCAGCTGTAAGATACTTGGTTATATATAAACAACAGTGCTACCTCTAAAAAAACCCGTATGTACATTCTACGTATGTAATCTACATACATACATCACTTCTCACGCCAACACGCTGTTTTAGCTCGCCCCCCTCCCCCAGAGCCGCACACTGCACGAAGCAGTGTACAATGAACGAATGTTCAAACAAAAAAACCTGGTGGACGAGAAGGGGCGAAGCCACTGCAAAGTAATTTCTTTATTCTGGATATAATAATGATCCAATCTGATCCCCATTCGGTGCCTGGATTGGCGTTTTTAGTTTTCTTTTATCTTCAAAATTGTAGGTTTGGGAGGTTTTTGCCCTTTTGTGGAGGCGGAAGGGGCAGGGATCATTTTTTAAATACACTTGTAACAGTGTGAGCATACAGAAGTCTGGATGCAAAATTTGGTGGCCGGGTATAAAAATAACAGATTTTAAAAATTCTTAAAAACTATCATCAGACCATTGCTAAGCCATTGCTAAGTGTCGAGTAGTGTTATTAGAGCCAGAGTGAATAAATTCATTGCCAGTGACCAGTGACCCCTCACCCCACAGAAGTGATATATGTATGTATGTAGATGTAGAAAAATTAAAAATGTAAATTTCAGATAAGTCAAACGGTTAAATATATGTATGCATATACATACATATGTTCATATGTACACTGATTCAGTACCACATATGAACAAATAGAATTTGCAATTTAACAACATGTATAATTCCAAAATTTCAAAAAACTAATTTTGTTATTTTGCTGGGCATGAATAATATGGATCTAACGCATACTTTATTCAATCCTAATTCGAGTTAATTCAGGGTATAAATATGTATCTTTACCTAAAATATATATTTACCTAAAACTACCATTCATGTTTTTTTTTTTAATCCTTGCAGTCGCTACATCTAACAGTGGAGGATAATGTCGAGGTAGATCCAAAGGACATAAGTTACGTACATAGCTTCTACGCTCCGCTGACCGCACGCCTGGTGGAACTTTCTTTGAAGCCGCTTGGCTGGCAGACACTGAAAAGCCAGATTAACAATCTCCACGGGCCGACCTTCGAGGACTTCCAAGCTCAGCTTATTGGAATAGGCGGTCGGCATGCGGGCTCCATGGCCAGCGAGTGCTCGCTGTTGCATGTTCCGCGCGTTGTACTGGTCTGCTTTGTAGGAGGATGCACGTTCGCGGAGATTGCCGCCCTGCGGTTTTTAGCCAACCAAGAGGATAACAATGTAGAATTTCTGATCGCAACCACCAAGATCATTAACAAGAACACATTTCTTGACAGTCTGTTAAGCGCATGAACGCCCCGCCACAAGGTCTCGTCCACTACCACTAATCGACCATGTTTGAGTACCTGCATGGCCCATATGCCCTTAAAAACAAGGTATGCTTAGATTTTCGATTGTATTGAAGAAATCTTTAGCGGAAATCTATTACGTTTATGACGTCTATTCATAAATTACATTTATAATTATAAGTACCTATCTTGAGAGCCAATTCATACAAATGTTAGAAAAGAAACCATTTACATGTTTTTTCCATTTTTATTGAATACTAGACGCAATAATAAATTAATCTCCATGAAAAAATATAAATAAAAAAAGCTCTTGGCTTATATTTTTATATATACAGTTAATATTTGTTCTTCCGAACTGTCATTTAGAAGCATGAATTAAAGGTTTAACTAAACTTCAAAAAGACGTTTGAGTCCGATGAGTTCAATTTTTCCGGTAGTATCTTAATTTGGAGTAGTGGCACTTTTCCAGTGCACACACACATGAGCGCTTGAAAATGGAGAGTATACATAGAGTGTAAATTACACTACTAGACAAAATCCAACTTTTTTTCCGCATCGAACCAAACCGACTTTTTTTTATA